CCGGCATCACCGACGCATATTAATCCATTCGAAACTAAATCGCATTCGACTAATGCAAGCGGTTCAGATTTTCAAAGCAATTCTCTTCAGCAGTTCAACAAGAAATCTGCTTTTGGTGATACAAGAAAATCAAAAGCGCCAACAAATAGACTAAATGAGGTAATGTGTCATCATTTCTCTTAGATTTTTAAAATCTCTATATTCAGACATCATTGGAGAATTTTAAATCTTCCAGTTATATCGAGCTAGAACAGGTTTGATTCAATTCAGCTCTATTGAAAACCCTATGTATTTATTCTTTTCTTCAGCTGAACTTTTCAACAAATGGTACTAACCATGATGATTTAGAGAAAGTTGTCGTAAGTGCTCAGAATTCATCACTTGATTTTCATGGCAAAGCCAAGGATTCACATGGATCGTTGCTGAGATATAACAGTTTAAAAAGCTCTCGTGCCAATCGTGTCGAACAAGAACATGATAAAAAGGAAAAGCGACGACGACGACGCCGTCGTGGTGGTTGGTGGATTTTCCCGTGTCTTTGCTGTTCACCAGCATGTTGCTTAGTAGTCGGCATACTAACGGCGTTACTTTTAGCTGCCTTAGCAACATTAATCATTGTACTCATGATGAACAAAATAAATGGCTCTACATCAACAAGTATATGCTTATTTATTTTTTCCAAATGTAAAAGCTATTTTTTTGTTTACTTATGATCAGCTGCGACCACTACAACTACTACATCGAGTATGTATACAAAAGTTTAATGAAAGGATAGCAAAATTTTCAATTTTATATACCACATCTTCTAGCTACAGCAACATCTGCCACAACCACAACGACAACATCAGTGACGACAACAACATCATCCACGAGTACGTCAACATCGACTAGTGCGACCACTGCAACAAGCAGTACTTCCACATCATCAACAAGTACCAGCTCTACGTCGACGACCAGTACCAGTTCCACATCAACCACAGCTACTACTTCGACGGCAACAACCTCAACAACAACATCAAGCACTAGTTCGACATCAACAACGAGCACGAGTTCAACATCGACAACGGCTACAACAACAACGAGTACTAGTTCAACATCAACAACCAGCACGAGTTCAACATCAACCACATCAACGTCAACAACTAGTACTAGTTCAACGTCAACCACTTCCACATCAACAACTAGCACGAGTTCAACATCAACCACATCAACGTCAACAACTAGTACTAGTTCAACATCAACCACGTCCACATCAACAACCAGTACTACTTCAACAACAACAACGAGTACAAGCACAACAACAACAAGCGCCACAACTACCACAACAACAAGTACGTTATTATATAGCGAGAGCATATTCAGAAAATCTCCTTCTAAATAAATTGGATTATTTTTTCCTCGTAAAGTATGACACAACCAAATAGGCATGCATTTGAGAGAGTTAATATAAAAAAGATACATAATATCAAGAATCAACTGTTCACTTTCTGAACCGTGTACTAAAGTATATAAAGACAATATGATCTTCTTTGTGAGTGTAATATCTTAATTTGTTTAAATGGAAGAAACAAGAAAACAAATATATAGAAGGCATACATGTTTTCTATAATCTTTCCAAATATAAACACTTCAGATACAAATATTTCAGAACTACTCTTTAATTGTTTTTTCGTAGCACCCAATTGTGTTATAGAAAGTTTTCTACAAAATGAATACACTTGCTTACGATAGGAATTCAAAATAGCTCATATATCGAATTAACATTGTTCATATGACGTTTGTATTTAGCACAAACAACTAGCACAACAAGTACAACAACAAGTACGGCAGCTACCGTTAGTAAGTATTTATTATTTGCAATGACATCTGAACTAATAATTGTTTGTCTACCGAAGCAATTACATCAAATACATGCACTTCTGGGTGGAAAGGTATTATTGTATTGTATCATTGTGATAATTGCCCAAATGTACAGCCTTATACCCAATATACTTATACTTACACAGCTATTGCAAATTTGACTAGACTGACATTCGCATTCCGTGAAGATGTAGGTGTCTTTGCACTTGATACAGTATCTGTAACAAGTATATTAGCACCTAGTGTTCAACTTCTTGCAAATAATGGTTTTGAAACTGGTTCTGAATCATCATGGACTTATTGTTGTCCATCTACTGCAACGTCTTGGGCCGGTGTTGGAAAGTACTCTGACAATATTTATAATATGGGTGTTACATATCAATCTCAATCGGGAACTTATTTTTACTATGATGGAACAGGATCTGGTTGTGATTATTTATCTCAAAAGTTTTCGACAACCGTCGGTGGCACATATACGATCTCGTATTGGCTATACAACTTAGGAAGTGGTTCAGCAAGTAGCGCTGATGTTATAATGAGTCATTAGAAACCCGTGACTTTTTCTTCTGTCTTCCTACACATGGACAAACATTTAAAAAGTAAACTCGTTCCAGTGAACGTAATGAAATATGTAGCTATTGTTAGATTGCGAGTGTATTTCATATTTTATCTAATAAATACTTTTCCACAATCGAGTTTTATATGGTTTACCACAAGGTTGTATATCTTATTTATCCATAACTTCTTGTAGATATGTAATACCATTCAAGGATCTTCTTGCCCACATAGCTGTTTTCGTCATTTAGTACTACTAGCAAGTGTATCGAAAATAGAGAGAACGTAGTATGATTCGATTTCTGAAATTTATATCGAAATTCGTCACCTATCGCTCAAAAACTGTTTTGATTGTTTCTGACTTGAAGAGATTCATCATACAACAAAAATTTCTTTACAGCATATGTCAACAGAATAAAAAATATGACCAAAATCGCACGAAATCCATATAGTCTTGTGCTACATAAAATGATCAATTTAGTTTTTGTGAAACACGACCTGAAAAGAATGTTGAAGTGTTTGTGGTAGAAATTTGCACACCCCCCCCTTCCCGCCCCACAAACCGTTACCGACAAGTGATTCCCCTGTCACGGACCGTTTCACACAGATGAAGATGAATTCAAGTATTAAGAATATGGATTTGAATTCCTTCTGAAGATAGTTTAATTAATTACGCTTCACAGACTCTGACAGACAAGTATTCGATGCATCACAAACGGTGTTATAAAAGCAGGGAGGAGCGAGAGGTGGAGCTATGACTATGATACACATCGATAGACAACTCTAAACATCGTTGTAGACTGTCATGAATTGTGTCACCGTTCAAGTAAGAACCGGCCAATGCTACAATATGGATACAATCTTTGAGTGGTTTCCATTTTCCACTTGCAGATGATGCATTAAAGTAATCATAATGAAAGAAAGAGTCCAGAAATAGACAAAACGGTAATTTTTCTGATAAGAATTAACAATTATGTCTTGTTTCACATTGTAATCTCGAAGGGATTGCGTTGACAGCTTTTTTTGTGTTATTCTCTTGTTGCTCGAGCTAAAAGAAGAGTCTACCAAATGGGATGTTAAATTTAATCATATTTTATAATAATAATTGAACGAATTTTTAATTCATCTATTGACGATTGAATATTGATCAATGACTATTATCGACGCATTGCATCATCAAATCCAATTTGTCTCTTAAGTATCCAATAAACTCTTTAACTCTAAAATAACATCACTAGAAAAACGCGTAAAATAATATAATGCTAGTGCTACTATGACATCCCAGTCATATTGTGAAGTAATCCTTTTTTTACCGTACGTACCAATAAAATATTAAAATTCAGTGATGAACTAAAATGTGCACCCATTTAAGAGACGGTCCACGAGAAAACCGACCAATTCACATACGGACCACCATGTGGCAAGTTTTAGTTTTTGAAATGAGTTATTCCATTCTGAAGTCCGTGAAAAGTTATTCTAGAATCCAAATTTTTAACTTTTTCTATAAAACCAATCACGAGATATAAGCGAATCTTTGAGCACACCCTCCTATATGATGTCAACAATTTTGATAAATCTGGGTGTGTTCAGTTTTCCCCTTTTTTACAATCTATTTCTCTACCGAAATTTCACTATTTTGGTATCATTTAATAGAGCTTGACTTTCTCTATCAAATAAAAAATCATAGAACAAGAATCAAAAATAAAAATGATGACTACTGTACATTTTTTAGCAAAAAGACATAAAGAAATTTGAATTTGTTTTGAAAAATTTTCATGTATTTTCCCTCACAACTATATAACAGTAGTGCGCTCCCAAAATTAAATTAGTAGTAGGAGATAGCTCGTGAAAACTGCATCTTTCTACGTATGAACGAATAAAATTGGGCTTGGTATGATCCGAACACTTTTTAACACAATCTATGGTCCCTATGCATGGTTTTGGGCGTCTTCGAGAAAATTATTTCATTTTTCACGAACTAAAAGCAGATACCCTTGTAGATTCAATGGTGCTAATTACTAATATCGAAATAAGAGCTCTCGAAACTGTTTTATTAGTGGAATCGTTCTCACCGCACTATAAACGGAATTTTTCATTTTTCGGCTCCCATACAATAAATTTACCTTCAGATTTACTTGAAAATATTTTCTCTCGCTCTAAATGCGGAGTGCTTTACCAATTCGCAAAAATATAGAAAGAGCTATGAAAATAGATTGTATATCCCAGATTCAAACAAAATTGACCTTTTTTGACTAGATAAATCTGTTAGAGCAGTCTGATGATAGTTATAAATTCGGTTCGCAGATATGATTTAATTCAAGATACAGAAATTGAACGCATATTTGTATCATCTGTATTGGGTGATAAAACTCGAAGATTTAGAGCTTAAAAATTGCTTCAGAAAAGTGTCAGTGACAATAGTGCAACTTATTTTGCTGCGCGTGTGCAGCAATCTTACAAGTGCTCCCATTTGTAACCGAATTCAGTAGTTTTTTTTTGTAGCTTATTTTGTATACTTTTCTCCTAAGTGGTTCGAGAAAGATACATACGAAACACTGTTGAATGATTGTGTAGATTTTGATGCAACGAAAACAAAATAGTACAGAATTTCAAAATATTCTAAATAGCGTCTAGCAGATATAATCTTATTGTTTCGAATTGTATATATCAATGAAAGACGGGCTCTAGCCTCTTCTCCTCTTGATATCTTTCTATGTCGTGTAATCGTCACATGAGAACGAGCCGCCGATATATGAAGAAAAATATAATATGTACTTTATATTTGCTAAGTTTTAGACACTATGCTTACGTTAGCATTCGCCGTGCAGTAGAGATATAATAATTTCGGCTCGAGTGGCCGAAAATGGATTGTATTTGAAGATATTACACTGAAAACAAAAAAAGGTCTCGCACGAAACCTAAAACGGTTCCGATTTTTTAAACGAAATCGAAACCCTTTTAGATTTCATAAAAGACAACAAGTAACGTTCATCCTACGGATTTGCGGACCCTTTTCTGAAAGAATGTTTTCTCACCGATACAAAGAGTAGAAAACCCAGCTGATTCCCAATAAGATAATTAATTTAGTTGATTTGCGACTTTTAGAGATAGTGGCCAGTGGGATTTCTATTGTGTGCTGCCAACTTTTTCTAATTCTATGAAATGTCACCCTATATTTTGCTGTTACTGACATGTTAAAGTGCTATGTGAAACAAAAACGTTATAAGTATTTACAATTTTCGGTGGTATTACAATGATTACTCGATTATTAGACCCTTGCTTTATGATATTGAGTGAAGATACAAAAAAACAATTAACAGCAACTGAGATGAAAGAGAGAGGAATGGAAGAGAAAAAGAAAGAGTGTAGTATTCATTTGGTGGGCTTCTTGATTGAGATGTGAGTGAGAACCTGCGTGTCGATGCAATAAAGGAGATCATCGACACCTGCAGACCCACCCACCTACTCTCTGCGGTCACACTCAAAATCGAAAGTTCGAATGTGTTTCATTGGCCCATGGTGGTGCTTGGGTGCCCAGCGGTGGAACATACTCTTGAGGATCATCACCAAACAAATGCACGTCCTTTTCACTGATAATCTCTTCGAGTTGAGACGAATCTGGGTAATTCCCTTGCATGGCCTTCAGTTGCATTACAAGACGACATAGCGTTTCACCTTGCTGTCGCTTAATAGCATACTCAGCACGATTGAATTCTGTGTTTTTTAGCAAGAAAAATTCCAATTTTTCAAACTGCAGCCGATTCTTGTAGAAATTCATTTGGTCAGATGCGGCGAGAACACCGATATGGGATGGCGTATTGATATGAGAATAGTACAGATACTCGATGATGACACTGATAGAACGATTTTCATGTTCGATTGTGTTCGTTGTAATGTGGTACTTAGGCTCATTGTGTACGTTTTCATGACAACAACAACAGCATATGGCGCTCAAGCAATCCCTTATCAGTTGGCAAAATGTACGTTTTTTAGCTTTTGGCAGTGTAATAAGATGTCTGGAAGCTTGCTGTTCGATTTCCTTGGATGCGTCCGTTGAAATCGATATGGAAATAATGTCTTCTACTGGAATCACTTTAATATTTCCCATTTGTCGCGTCCTGTGTATATTCGGTTTGATTGATGATGTAAGACGATTAGCAACTTCATCCTTAACCATATGTTTTCCAATCAATGCTGTTCTACCATTCTCTGTTACTATATAATTATTAGACTGTGGGCATACATCATCCCAAGTATGTATTGCCAGCACTGGACATGTGTAAGCGTTCTCAATTGTATGAACACCTACAGATAAGAGTTGTTAGTCGACGTGTTAGAATTTGATAAAAAAAGACGTCCCATTATATTTTCCATTTATGTTTCTGAAAAACGACTTTCTGTTCAAAAACTAATTCTTGTATTCCAAATGATTCACAATTTAGCTACTTCGAATTGGACGTGTGGGTGTGGGTATTGGATAGAACCATCCCTTCAATTATACCCTCCTCATAGCCACACCCGTACCCTCGAGAAATCATTCATTTATGTAACACTCGTTCCTTTTATATCTAATGTCAGAATAAATTTTGAATAATATTTTGTGTTGCAGTCTTAGTTGAGAGATATCGACAGCCGGATACATATTGCATAAAGTTTCAGCAATATCGGTTGTTCCGAAACTAAAAGAGCTTTCAGACATGGATGCAGGCTTTAGTGATTTTTAAACAGAAATATCTTCAAATTAAATCCTTTTCTATATCAATCCATCCTGTTCATTCACGAAAGCGGAATCAGAAAATTATTGAATTAATCATAATGTAATGATCTTATCATCATGTCAATCCTAGGCTTACCTGGGTAGATTCTGGCGAATCCGTAGTGAATGACGTTTTTCTTCATTTCTGATGCAGGTGGAGGGATAGTTTCTTGCATAGTGTCGGGTATATCATTCTCTTTCACCTCGGTTCTCATGGAGCCGTTATTCATAATCCTGCAATAGGTAAGAACATGCATAATAGATTGATAAGTACACCAATACAGATTGATCTGAATTTAATCGTCAGTTATTTTGTTTCTCAGTGTCGCAACCGTAATTATTGATCAATATAAAATTTCCATATTCATAAGAGCGACTCTATCGAGGGTGTAAGGATGTGGGTGAAACTTTGTGTGTGAATACGGATGACAAGAACGACCACACCCACACACTTAAGATTTAACAACCAGCACACTCGACGCAATTTCTAAGCAGATTTGGCGGTGATCATACATTAATAAGGATATAATTTACTGTTACTTTTATAGTAACAACTGTCGAGGTAGACCTGAAAGCGGAGCACTCGCATCCTACTCAAACCCAATGCCAAACGATGTACTATCAATTCGAAGTTGATATGTTGCCAAATAATCTCAGCGAGTTTAGTGCTCTATGCCTGAATTTTTGGGTGCCCTATACGGAAATAGGTTTTGGACCTACAACAGGCATTGTAACTGGAGTTCAAGGGAGATTGTGAACGGTGGTTAGTGTTGGCGGGAGAGGTGTCACATATCCGAAATATCGGCGATGCTAGAGATGCCAACGGAGACGCCGACATACAAAACTATTAATGACACAATACCAATACAATGGCTACATGGAATTATTTAAGTGTATTCTACGTCTCTGCATGAGACGCCGCATCTCTCGCACTTCTCCACAGAGAGAAGTCGCATATCTGACATCTGCATCTCCTGATTAAAAAATATTTTTCGATTTTCAAGCCCTAGACCCCATCGCATATACGTCGAACTTGCAACTTGAATTCAACTGAAACTTCAACTTTCAACTTTAGAACTTGAAACTTGAATTTTCAACTTTCAACTTTCACTTCATTGCTCTGGCAATACTGCCGAATCTTTGGTACATGTGTGTGTGTAGACGAGCATATGTCACTTCCCCGGCGCCCACACCCTTGAAACTTGAAAGTTGAAGGTTCAGTTGAATTCAAGTTTCAAGTTCGACGTATATGTGATGGGGCCTAGGGCTAAAAATGGAAAAAGACTTTTTAATCGGGAGATGCAGATGCCAGATATGCGACAGCTCTCCGTGGAGAAGTGCGAGAGATGCGGTGCCTCTGCATCGGACGCAGCAGCTGTGTTGCAGATACAGAATGCGCGTGATTAATTTCTGATACCGATTATATTTTATTTGCTGGGAGTATCACTGTTGTGTATCCTGCATCTCTCGTGGCACCTCTAGCATGCCCGGTTTGAAGGATATGTGACACTTCTGATTGTCGGATACTATAGATCGATAGTTTTGATCCATTCATTGAATTTACGAAAAATGTGTTTCTTCTGGAGCTCAAATACGCCTGAAAATGTATTTTAACGAATCTTTGCACAGTTTTGAATAGAATACGTATATGTAAGGCTTGACGTTTGAATTCAACTGAGTTTTCAATTTTACACTATTTATTTCTAAATGATAGACGCAATCCATTGCGACAGACTGTTACCGAAACGCGGGTACTTGGCGTTTCTACCAATGTGGGTGCCATGGAGGTGCTCAGACGGCTTCTCGATCGATGTTGGTGTTGCGAAAACACAGTAGTATTACACGTCTAACGTACATTTTATTTTTCATTTTATTCAAATAATCAACTATTTCTGCACCATATGCAGTACAGACGTCACATTAGTTGAGAGTTCAAATGTGGATTTAAAAGTTGAAAGTTGAAAAACCAGTTGAATTCAACCTTCAATTTGTACATATTTGTAGTAAAGATATCAATACATTTCCAATGGAACAATCATCTCATTTTATGCGGAATAAAAAAGCAATTAAACCGATAAATCTATGTTTTATTTTGGTGTCCTAGTCGCATTCTAGTAAAGCGATACGAAACTTATGTAAAAATGAATTCTATTCTCCTACTTGTTGTTTGAAGGCTACTTGATAGAGTAGAGACGACAAGCGCAAGTGACTGATGTTCGTTCACCGAATGAGTGTGAGTGACTTTTATATTTACTTTAGCTTCTTTTGACAGGATTCCATCAAGTAAAAAAGATGAAGTAGATGCATTTTGGTTTGAGTTTGGATGTGCATGCATAGAAGGCCCTCACATCCATCGTCACGTATACACCCCACACCCTTCTTTTGTTAAACAATGTTGTTGTAATATACTTACGGATGAACTTGTATACAAGACTCAAATTAATCATTTTCATCGTTTTTTCTCAAAGCAAAGCTCGTGACACATAATACTGTACACACTGAAGTAATTGATTAAAAGCATTTTTCTTTGAAATAAAAATATAGAGAATATAATAATTTTTCTTTGTCGTATAAAGGAATGTCTTGTAATGAAAATATCGTGTCCGCCATAATGAATGGCGGTCTCATTACAGATTGGATATCTCCCCAGCCATACAAGATACAGAGTTGTTTTTTTTTCATTCGATAGAGGCTGAAGTTCTCTACATAACGATAAAAGATTCGAATAGATTCTCTGTAAAATTTTCCACTTTATATCATGAAAAGTAAAGATATCCAAAATCTCGTTTTTTCAAAATTCCAAAAAAAGAAGCAGCCGAAGAAGATCTTTGATGATTTGAACAGAACAGTGGGGCTGCGTACAATCGAACGGTGGTGCAAATTGGTTCGTGAAACTGGCTCAGTCGATCTGAAAAGATCGCTTGGTCGTCCACGAACGATTCGCGCAAAGGCAACCATCCAAGGGTAAAGAGAAAAATGAACAGAACTATACCTCTATCAGCGGCAAAACTGGCGGTTGAGATGAATCTTTCCGAAACTACTGTTTCGGAGAGTACTCAAAGAGGACCTAAAACTCAAACCGTACAAAATGACAGTTTAACCGTCGCTCACTGATCAGCACAAGGAGAGCCGAAAAGATTCGTAAACTGGATACGAACCAATTTTCGAAAGGAGGATACGATGAAAAGATGTTCGACATAGACGGGGCCTATAATTCTCAAAACGAAAGAATTTTGGCTGCTAATCGTGCGAAAGCTGATGCGAAAGGTGGCATCAAGCGAAAGCGAAAGTACCCACAAAAAGCAATGATCTGGCTTGCGGTCTGTTCCCAAGTGGTTTCTCCTTTGGTCATTTTGGAGGGCGGTACAGTTGATCATGACGTTACATAAACAAAGTGCTCCCGGTTGCTCTTCAATATGGAAACAAGGTCTTCGGGAACCATTGGACGTTTCAACAAGATGGTGCTAAGCCCCAGCCCCATCCCCATGCTAAAACTCAACAATGGTGTGCAGAAAATCACATAAAAAAAGACGCTAATTGATAAACTAAAGCGGGCGGTTCATGAAATACACTCAGAGGTTGTTTTTGAAAGCTGCTCAAGTTGGACCGTTCGGTTGTCCCGATTATCTACAAACAACGGAGAATATGTTAGTTAATAAAAAAGTACCATTTTGTAGAATTGTTTTTTCTCTTTCGATGAAAAAAAGAGTTTAAGTTAACATTATGCTCCATTCAACAGATATCTTATCTGCAATGAGACCGCCATTCGTTATGGCAGACCCGATAATACCGAATTCATGAGACATAACTGTATGGAAGATTTAAATAGAATCGCTTTAATGAATTTAATTTGTGACTCTTAAGGTCATTGAGATATTATGTTTTATTTTATGCACTGTGCGATCAAACAATCCCGACTGAATCAAGTCTGTCTTTCTCCAATGTTGTAAAGTACAACTAATACAATTCAGTTGATGCTCCAGGGGATAACCTAAAATTGAATATTACACTCTCACGTCCTCAAGAAAAGCATAGCTTATGAACGATAATGTTTAATAAAATGTAAGTAACGCTTTGTGTTTAATATTTATTCTTAAAAAGAAATATTTTCATATGAAGTTATTAAGCGGTGGTTTTATTGAAATAATCTCTTATGTTTTCCTGTGAAAATGAACTCTTCCGATGGTTTATTCATGGAAGAACTTGGTCTAAACAGTTGACGTTTAAAATTAGCATAGAAATACTCTCGATCGGAACGAACATCCGATTCCGTCAAGAGAATAAAGTAGGGTCTCGTTGATAGATCTATATTTGGATACAATTCTTGAGCACCACTTCTGATAGGTACATCATCTATGGATCGATATCCATGAACATCGAGCACATAAGTTTGTTGAGCACGGCCTGACCAATGTACATCACTTGGATTTTGATGAGAACATGATAAATTAAATGTCTGTGAAGCCGACATAAAATAATTATCAGGTAAAATTTTATACGAAATTCGTTCAAAATTGACTGTTGTTTTGGTGTTGGTTTCATATGTTTTATATACTCTTGGTTTTGCTCCGGAGAACATTTCTGGAAGGGTATCTGTAGGTGTAACTTGCTTTTGAGTGAATGCTGGAGGAGTTGACGAGGAAAGAACTGATAAAACAGGTAAATCAATAAATGCAACTGACGAATTAAAAAAGAGAGACGTATTCATAGAAAATGGAGATGGCCAATATGTAGGAAACATGGCATTGGAAACAGCAATACGAATATGATGACCAATGAGAAATGTTCAGGTAGTAAAATGAAGCGGAAATGTGATCATATATCGGCAATTAGGCTTGAGATAGGTCGGAGGAGTTTGCCTCTGAGCTCCGTTTATAGCTCCTGTCGTGGTTAATGCTATTTGACCATTGGGATCAACATCTTCCAGGCGTACAATCCAATGAGCTAAACGAACAGTAGCACTGACCTACCACCCGAAACATGATTACTACTTCGAGAGCTTCGTTCCTGCCAATGTTCTTACCTGAAGTGAAACATTAACAACGCCAATAATTTCAATTGCTTGCTTGATTGGTTCACTGACGTAGATGAGAGAATATTTATCAAAAGGTCGCTGATCACCTGTTAATCCACCTAGCCAAGTGCCAGCTTCAAAACCAACCCATGGTCGATATTCAAGAATATTCACATTGTTGGAAACCTTATTTTCATTTAATCTTGTCATTAATGGCTTTTGTTCAATCAATTTGTGATCTTCGGGTATGTACATACGGCATATCTTTTGGCGAACAATGGGCCATTCTGTTTCGTATCGATAATGACCAGTCGTGAGACTTGTTCGAATAAAAAGAGTGATGTGTGTGGTTCTTTGATGATCTCACTATCCTTTTGGTCATCGTTAAGCCAATGACTGAACCATCGAACCTTTTTGGCTTTACCATCGTAAATTGATACGCAGAGGAGAATCTATATAACTAGAAAAAGAAAAAGAAAACGGTCTGCCGATCATCACTTGACTAATGGAAACCGATAACATACGCATCGTACAATCCTCCAATAAGATAAATAGGTAAAGTGAGATTATGATAAGCATATTTGATTGAATTCTCTTTCCAAAGTGAATTTTCAAGTTGTTGCGAAAGATAAAGATCAACCCAAGGTCATCGTCTAAACCGTTCTCTTGTCCATTGGTCATTCATATTATAATCTATCGGAGCTGGTATTGCATTACTATGATCAATAAAAATAAAATACTGATCTAAGTGCATGATACCATCTGAATAATGAATATCACTTTTGTACAAATCATCAGTAACGTGTGCAGTAAACAGAGCTTTCAAAGCAAATGGTCGTCGCAAAGTACTCATCATGAGAGTATTAAAACCAGACCAACTTATACCATACATTCCTACTCGACCATTCGAACGATGATCGCTAGCGAGCTATTGAATAATATGTTCACAATCGTTTAATTCTTGTGTAATTATGTAATGATAAAAGAAGACCAACATGATCAGTATCGTTTATAGATTTAAAATTATTTATAACATCTAATAATAAATTGAATGATATATCAAGAGCATTTTCGAGATTGATAGAAATATCTCTTGCATTAGATAAATTACAATGCCAAATACAATTGACTATGATCTCTTGATGTTTACTTCCGTTACTTGTCATTATAAGAATAAGTACACCAATTTATCATGGCATTGCAGTTGACAATAGTATTTTTGAATATTACGATTAATATGGCAGACAGGCGCGAAAATCTTATTGATTGCAAATTTATCGTAATTATCTTTGTTTTTTTGCTCTTTTTTTCTAAATAGCATTTGAGTTGAAAGTAATTGATAGATTAAAAAAACAATTCTTATCCCATTCTCACTGTGTTTAGTAATTATTTCAGAAATTGTAAATTATTTGAGAATGCGTTATCTTTTTCTTCATGAGGAGAAACTTTAAAACAAATGATAATCGAAATGTAAAATTTTATTCTATTTTATTCTATATTAATACTGTGTTATTACATTCTGAATCTTTACATTGAATACTGTATGTTTCATTTTTTATATCTATTAATATTACTGTTGTATTTCGTTGATGATGTGAGCCTTTACGAGTACAAAAACGATATTCACCAGCAATATTAAAAAAGAAAATATCTGAAATGTATTTGCCTCGTACACATGCTGATATGTAGCCTTGAATGGAGTAGTGAATCTAAATTAGTTAATTTTTCTACAAATGGAATGAATTTATGAATTTGATTATCTATTTGATCGAACACTTTGATTGTAGGAATTTGACTGATTTTGGAAATACGTATATTAATCTACATCTATTCGTTTATTAATAAACACTTTGAATATAATTGTGAAATGCAAAAGCGAAATAAAATTATGCATTTCTTTTAATTCAAGCACAAAATATATTAATTTTCGACTTTGATCGCTTACTGAAAAGCTGTTAGCGAAATCCCTCTGGGATTAAAAATGTGAAACGCGACATAATCACTGCAGGAAATCACATCTAGAAGGTGTATTCATGGGAGTTCTTTGTTGATTTGGTGAGACAGCTCGTTTGCCGCTATCAGNCCGTCTGTGAAGGGAGGATCGCCTGTCGGCAACCGTCTGTGAAGGGGGGATCGCCTGTCGGTAACGCTCTGTGATGGGGGAATTACCTGTCGGTAACGGTCTGTGGAGGGGAGGAGGGGTGGGTACAAATTTCTACCCTAAACACTTCAACACTCCTTTCAGGTCGTGTTTCACAAAAGGAATACGGTCTAAAATGTCCTTTCAAAAATGTCCCTGGTTTTTCGTCCTCAGAAAAAATGTTCCCCGATATTTCGTCCTTGAAAAAATGTCCCTCGTTAAAATGTCCCTTATTATTTAATTTTAGTTGTTGAACTGTGTGTTAGTGAAATATAGATGACGCCTTCAAGAAAGAAATATATCGGTGCATATTTTTATTGTCTATTATAGAGGATACGACTGCCGTATAAATAACTCAATAAAGACGAGAAAATATATCGTTTAAATGTCATTCGTTGTTTTGCGTAATATTTTTCTGTAATCGTAAAAAGACATCTTTGACGGGATCTAATAAGTTGACAACTATTGATTAAACTGAATGTTCATCGTCATCTCAATCACCTGAAAATTCATTTTTACAATCGAGTCCAACTCAACAATACAAAAACACACTTGAATAAAGGAAAACTCATGTTAATTGTTAATAGTTATAATTTCCAATTTTAAAATTTTAATAGAAAGAAAAATTAAAAGAACTATTTTTTTTGTCGCTAGTGGAAAATAAATTAGAATTTTATTCGTTTTATTGATTATATCACATGATTGCTTTTATGAATAAGAGTAGTTCATGTTTTACAGAAATCACATCTTGAAAATGAAAGACATTTTTTCGGAGGACAATATTTCTAAGGACCATTTCTCAGGGACATTTTTAGACTGTTACCCTGAAAAGCAAGAGTTGAGAATAGCAGATTAATTGGTCTTCTTCGTTAAGAGGTAAGTTGATCTGTTTTGTGAAACACGATCTGAAAGGAGTGTTGAAGTATATAGGGTAGAAATTTGGACCCATCCCCCTCCCCACAGACTTGGAGAGAGAAATTAATTAATTAGTTAACTGGTTAGTTAATTAATTTCTCTGTCACGGTCTGTGATGGCTTCTGAGGTCTCTGGCATGGTCTGTGATTGTTTTTAAACTCTCTGTAACGGTTCATGATGGTCTCTAGAGACTCCGTACACCATAATACACACCACGACAGAGAAGCTCCACCAACCATCACAGACCGTGGTAGACGGATTCCAGCAAAGGAGCTTTATCGTGTTTCACATTTTAATCCCACAGGGATTGTGCTAACAACTTTTCTAATTGATTTACATACACCCACGCCCGCTATCAATTACGGTAAATTTTCATAGAAATTGACATCAACCTGTGTACTCTATCTAAAGAAGTTCAATTGTATTTTAACAATATAGTCTGAATATTTTTTTGCTTCTTTGTCATCGGCTTCATTTATTCTTGCGGTGAATTTTACATGTTGCTATGTGCAGTTCTTCTCGATGGACAGCATATGTGAAGCATTAAAAAAAAACGAAAAGAAAAGGATGCAAAGCAAACAGAAATAGTACACACAACGTTACCATGCTTCAAAGTAAACGAAGCATTTGAAGAAAAACAACAGATGGTGTAACTAGCAAAAACCTTTCAACCAACAAAAACAACGACAGCCCAATATCAATTAGTTAACGTTGGTAAGTAACTCAGTAGAAACTACGGTATATAGTAAAACCCTACGGTTCTGAAAAAAATGGAACCGCGAATCGAAGAGAAATCAAAATTTTGAAAATTCTGCTACCTATAACCAGAGTCGAAACCTTGAAATAAAAGAGGTTGAAATCGGAACCGGAATCGTTGGAACCGTGAATTTTTTACCAATGGCTAGAGTCATTTATATTCTGTAAATTATCATAACTTCAGCGCAAGTAAATTTTCCATCTTCTTTTGATTTTGAATATTCATCTTACTATAAAAATAAAAATAAAGAACAATGTTTATTGATCAACATAGACGTTGTGAACAGTTATTTTTTACTTTTATACCAGATATTTTTATACTTTTGAAGATAAAGAAAATGATGAGTTTTAGTATTACTTATTACCTAATGCATTTTTTTAAGTAAGTATATTGCATTAGAGGGATATTCATGCATTCACTCTTTTCATTTATTGTTGTCAAAAACATGAATTTATCCAGAAGATAAATAATATCAACAATTCCAAAAACTGAAATATGCAATTTTATTTTTAAAATTTATTTATTTCACGCACGATTAATAAACACCGGTTACAAAGGCATTTTAAGAACCAAAACGAGAGTCGGTATTTGAACGTTTTAGTATGCACCATATTACGGTCGTATATCACCGTGTCATACATGACCGTATACAGCGAACGATTACACGTGCAAAATCCAGTCGTGATACAGCTGTAAAACTCAATGCACGCGGCCTGACACGGTGACGTTTACCGTCGTAAGCACAGCATAACTGACCGTTACATGCCGTATCCGACTGCTAAATAAATGATTTTACTACCATCGCACACATTATCATTCCAAAAACCACATAAGTGCAACTATTTGCTGCTAAAAACTACACGTCAGCACGCAGTCTCGTCAAAAACCACCACACACCCTGAAAAATCCATCGAAACTCAACGAATTTTCACCAGTTAATAGAAAATAACGAAAATCCACGGTTTATTTTTCATAAAACCTCGTTCATTTGCCGTTAAATGGAAGTTTTCGCATTAATTTTGAAACTCAATTCGTTAAATACCTTTTTATTGTTACTTGGGTCGAAATAAATGCCGAATCGAAAATTAATTCTCAAGAAATACTTTGTATATAGATGTACAGGCAACCGTATTTTGATATGCAAATGTTACCCGTGTTTATGAAAAAACATGATAAGAAAAGTGTCCTATATAAACGGAAATTTCATTCTTGTATCGTACGAAGCCATGCCACTCGAAAAAAACTTTTTTCTTTCTTACCGATCGAAAATTTATCTACTGTTCCTTTTTCTATATTTAACTTAACAAATATAAATAATAAATTGTAAATCTTTTTTGTAGATTTAGAATTTTTGAACATGGCCGGTATTAATATTAAAGAAAAACCTTCGGCCTTACGCTTCGGCGATATGGGTACATTACCCAAACGAATGCTGGCACCCATCGAAGGATATGAAAAAGCACCACTCGTAACACTCGAAGAGGCTGTAAAACTTCTTGTGGACATTGTTCCGAAAGTTGAACGTAATGTATTCGTCGTGAAACAAAATTGTGAAGAACCAGAAGATGGATTAACCTCTGACGAATCCGCTTCAATTATGCTTTACACATATGAATCAAAACCACAAAAAGATTCGTTGTATGTTAAGCTCAATGAAGCATTGCGTTCCGAACAAAGAGATAATTTAACTCCATGGTTTCTTTATCTTCGACTTATTATGACAGCACTTGCTCGTCTTCCATCTCAATATTGTAATGTTGTTCGAGGGATCAATGGAAATCTATGGTCCGAATATCCAAAAGGAAAAACTTTTATTTGGTGGGGATTTTCATCGTGTACATCATCGGTCGATGTGCTGGAAAATGAACAATTTTTTGGAAAAACTGGGGATAGAACATTATTTCAAATAGAATGTATTACAGCCAGGGATATAAAAAATCATTCATTCTATCAGACTGAAGAGGAATTACTTTTATTACCAGCTAGACAACTTCAAGTTAAAGCTTGTCTCAATTCTGGTCATGGGCTTCATATTATACAACTCAAAGAATTAAAACCTCAATTCGATCTCATTGAACCAGTTCCATTACCGAATCCATATATTACATCCAAAAGCCTTTCATCAGTGACAGCAAAGGATAAAACTAAAACTAAATCTGATGCTGGAGCTATGGAGCAACAATTGTCAACACTGAATATAAATGAAAATACAAAGTTACAGGGTGAGCGATAATTTTAATTCATATGCAACATATGTAAGTAGACTTGTATCAAGTATATGATTGACATATGTAAGGGATGCCTTAGAGAGAAGTCATTTATAATTAAAACTCAATATGTGGTTGAATTTATATGTGAATATAATCATCAAACGATCAATCGAATATTGAAAATAGAAATGATGAGAATCGATAATACTACTTATTCTCTAGAATTGACTTGAAAATTGAAGTTGATGGAGTGACATAGGAAATTCAACGTCTGAAAACAAGATTTTCACGTAATATACAAGCATATTTTTGATAAATAATTTTTAGTTGATCTATATGCTAAATGATTTTGAAATATATTCTTCATTTTACTAAAGTCATTCATGGTTAGAGTCTATTGTGAAATATTGATATTTTTCTAATTGAAATCATCTAAAGATGATTATTCATCTTCAAATAATGATTCTTACGTTTTTTCTTTGCCGACTCATCAGCTATTTTCTATTATATTTCGATATAGGAAAAATTAACTTTTAGTTTCAGATTTCATTTTTTTTCGAAATTACATCTCATGTCTTCTCTTCACATATTAAAGAAGAATCTTCTATTCAATACTTATTTTTGTGATTTTAATGAATAACTTTGAGTGAACTTGATGGTAAAAAAAATCACATGTATCATTTCGAAATCTCACATAATTGAATGTTATAATCTTGCTGAGCTTTCATATAAAGAACAAAATGTGTCTTATAGTTTGAACAATTTCTTATTCCAAAAAAAAACCTTTTTCATTACTCCTTTTTCCTTGAGCTACTGTAATGATTGTTTTTTATCAGCATGTTAGACGAATGAATATCTCGAAGTATTCTTTACTCAAGAAGGCTTAAGTCTTTCCCAGAATTGATATGATTTCTATTGAGAAGTAAACAGGATACTTCGAATTTTAGCAATTTATGGAATCTGACTTAAATCAACATGATAATTTAATAAAAATCTTTCGAGTGTGATTGAAATCATATAAAAAAGCATTCTGATTAAAAAAAGTTATCATTGTGGAGAGTCATACTAATTATTTTATTTTTATTTTTCAATTTGAAACTTTCACATTATATTTCATATCATACTAAAGTTTGCTCGACACAGACACATCTAATTGAGAACAGAATATTATGTTGTTCTTATCTCAGATTGAAACTTAATCGATGATGAAAAACACGATCAAGATATCTAATACGGTGATTCATCATTTTTATATCCCTCTATGAGAAATCTTGGAAGATAAAATCGTAGATTTTCGATCTTCTATATGATCTTCTGAATTTCTTGCTTTTGTTTTTGAACTTATCCATCGGGTCGAAAAATTTGACTTCATGCCAACGCAGAGAAAATTCCTCACCCGGAAGAGTTCGGAAAGCTAGATAAAATGATGCAAGTTTCCCGAAGCGGTATTCTCAAGTTCCTAGCAAAAAATTTTGAAAAACATTGCCTAGCGAGAATTATCATTAGTCTTTCGTTTTCCTTCTTCTATATATATATATATATTTTTTTTTCTATTCCTGAATATATTGCAATATAGAAAAGTTCGCGTATAACATACAGCTTCTCAAATAAAAAAAGATTTGAAACGAATGTAGTTTCGATGTAAGAATATGATCGAAACAAAACTAAAAATGATAATTTTAATAACATCCGAAGATTTTATCAAAATTAATATCAAGACAATATGTATTTGAATTTTGTCTCAATCATGTTTTTTGTGAAATTATTAGCTTGAGCTTTTTATCAACAATCTAGCTGTAGACAAATATAAATAATAATCTGATATTTATCTCTTGTGTTCGTCAACAATTATTACGCTCTTTCATTGTCTTAAGTGTCGATTATCACTCATTGTATAAATGAAAAAGAGAAAAGTCAGAAACGTGCGTTTAAGTGAAGGCTCATATTGCTATTTCTAACACATTTCACATGGTACTAGCAAACAAGTTCTTCGTGTTCTATTACTGATCCTTTATTCTTTCTTGGTTTTATGATCTTTGTGAAATTTCAGTAAGATTGAATAAATATTTAAATGCAACACGATCATATATTATCATAAGATGAGATCTGCTAGGTCATGGATGCTTTTTATCTTCAGTAAAATACCTAATTTGAATTATCTCTGTTTTTATTCAGCCAACAAAACTGAATCAGAAATCAACGTAGAACAAAAAGCTGAAAAATCATTTCGTTATGTTCAATGTTTTCCCTATTCACAGAAGATAAACGAACAAAAGAAAGAAAGAAAATAATTACAAGAAACATTCATCGACATCGAAAATCGATTCATTGGACCCTAGACTGACAGTGTTGAGGAAAAGAAATGCATGGACAGGACAGAAAATCGGTTGTTTGTGCCAGTAGCTGGTGGTGATATCTTTAAGCTGACCTGTAAAGGGGGTGGGAATAAGTGAAACTGAAGTAAGAATTAGATGAAAATTAAAGGTTTCAAGTAAAAGCACTAAACATGCAGACGAAATACGGACAGAATGGCACTCAAAGACCCTTAAGACGGCGGGGAGGTTGTCTTACCTAGCCACAAAAATACAGGATTCAGAAATATCGCGATGGTTAACTCAAAGTTCCGTAGGGGGATCAGCTCGCCCCCTCCGCTGACCACATATCCAGAGTGGACTGTTCCCGTGGCCATGTCATGCAGTCGCCCATGGTTTGTGCCGTAACAATTGCTGTAAGAAAAAGGCTTTGTGAAACTGCAACGCGACACATACCCTTTTTTCCGTTTTTGGAATATCTGATGAACCCTTTTTCCAAATCATAAACCTAAAAACCGTCTATTATCTTTGTCATATACGGGAAAAAAAGGATTTATGATACGCTGCACTTTCATAAACCCTTTTTTTGTTAAATACCCTATCAAAAACGTTTTTTCCGTTTATTATCCTGCGGATTTTTTTACAGTGATACCCTTAGTGCCATAGAAATGGTCATTTGTACCACAGAAATAGTCATTTGTGCCACAGAAATGGCCGTCTGTGCCATTGTTACAGACAGACAGGCAGACACAGGTGAATTACGGTTTCTAGACCCTATCCTTTCAGTCTAGGAAATTTGAAATATCATAGTCTGATTGAGATCCAACTTGTTAGGAGGAATAAATAAGAAAAACAATCAATATATCACATATAATAGGTATAGAAACGAAAAGGAAAACACTAATAAAGATCAAAGAAAGGAGAGGATAACATAACATTAAAGAGAGAGATATAGATTATGTCGGTGTGCGACATTACCCAAACATTTTCCCATATTGGATAAAATGTGTCCTATCAACATTTTTAAGTGATTAATGATGAGCATAACCAGAAAACGAAAACAAAAAAATAACGAATATATTAGATTTGAAAAAAGAAACAGTTTCACGAACTATAAGTTCACATATAGTATAATATAACAAAAAATAGAAAGAGAGAAAAACAATATATCGATGTTCAAAATGTAGAACGGTTAACAGTCTATATGTAGCGGTTACAATAAAGGTTACAATGATTAGCAATAGAGAAAAAAAGATGGATGAGAAACATTTACTATAAATAGTGCAATTACACGTGTAGATGATCATAATCCAAAATCTAATCGATAAATGTGTACGATTTAATTTGTATAAATTTTTCTTCTCGTCTCCATTTTGTATTATAACCACGACAATTCATACTACGATCATCTTTATCAGATGATCTATATTCACGTCGTTCATATTTGAATTTGTTGTAATGGTCGGTTGTAAATAATGTTTGTGTTTTAATATTATATTCTTCTAATTTAGATCGATCTCTTACGCCAATATATAAAGTTTTATCACGATTAATTGGGAAATAAGAAAAATTTATAAGATTGAATAAAATATTGTTTTATCAAAGGATCCGTTTTATATCACCAATTGAAAATATTCGAGCAATATTATGACAAATTATCTCGTATTGATAATAACGTCGTCGTTGTTTAATAATACATGTTATATTATTAAGCTTTTTTCTTTCTTCATTTGATAATTGTTCGTTTTGTTTAGGTTCTAAAATAGATGATTGTGCATTAAATGTTGCCGTTCATGGTGATTGTTATGGCAAATGATGTTCGTCATCATCAGATGATATTAATTCTAAATCGTTATCATGTATTGGTTCGGTGGTTGTTGTAAAAACATTTGATACTGTTGTTGTAAATTGTTGTTCTTCAGGCTCAGGTTCGGGTTCACGCTGTGTATCATCGAATGATATTGGTTCGAGATTCTCACGATTAATATTTGATGGATGTATAGTTGTTGGTATTGTTGTTGTTATTGCTGTAGGTGCTGTTGTGATGATTTGCGTTTGAATAAGTAAATGTTGCATAGATAGACAATCGCTTGCAGCATAAATGCTTAATTTTTGACGATCTTGTTGTTGTTGTTCTTTAAGATTCGATTGAAATAACTGTGGATCTAATCCGATATTAAAATATGAAATTGTTGATCGCTTGTCAAGTCATTCATTTAATTCATAACTAACAGCATCCTGTAACGACCATAATTCGTGAGAATTTTTTCCGATACATTGTTCACATAAACATTCAGATGTTGGATCAGACGAAGATATTGTTGAGATTAAATGTGGAACGTGTTGTTGCCATTGTTCTTTAAATGTATCTTGTAAATTTTGAAAATTGGCTAATAAAAGTTGTGTTTCAGAAAATAGATTATAAATGGCGAATGGGGTTAATTCATCACGTTCACCCCAAATATAAATAGGTTTACTACTATTAAAAATTGTTGTGAGAAGATTTTTAATTAAATAAAATGTTGTTGTATGTTCTCGAGGTAAATGACACATTTCAAAAATAAGAATGATGGAAAAATTATTTGATAATAATGCTTGTATTTGAATTAATACTGGTTTATTTTTACGTTGACGAGTTTGCATAGATTCGGTATCTAATGTAAAATTAAACGATGTTGTTACAGTTTGACTAATTTGATTTAATGTTTCTTCAGATGTTGCTGGATGAATATAATGAATGGTATGGGGTAATGATGTAAATGGTTAATATGTTGAAGCATATTGATGTTCTTTTAATTTTTTCCGAAGTGATTTACGATAATTTTGACGTGATTTACCAGTATAAGTCGATGGAATATTGTCGAGTTTCCATAGTATATTATTGTATTCTTCTGCAGATAACATGACTATAATAAAAAAGTGTATATGTAGATTTTTTTAATTATCGATTCACTAAATGGCGAATCTAAATATATAAATAGATATATATATATATATATATATATATAATCGATTCTCTTAGAAAATATGAATCCGCTATCGAACATATGAATTAAAATAGTAGAGAGAAAAAAATTAGATATAATAATAATAATATCATGGGTGTGTACATGTCAATAAGAGATATTACGAAATAGTTCGTCTTTGTTTCTTTTCGATTCTCAGTACCTAGGTAAGAATCTATGAATGGTAGTTGAACATTAATTATGTCCAATAATTAAATTTCGTAAAATAAAATGATTAAATATATAATAAAATATTCCAATTGAAGTATAATAGCCCTTTATAATCAGTGAGTGAGGAAAGCAACTCCCCGATCATGCTATGCTAAACTATATTGAATCAGATTGAGCTAATAATAATTAATCATTCCATTAAACTTGACATTTAAACTAATATAACGGATCTCTTCATTAGAGAGGTCCTGAATTTAATAAATTCGTTCGAAGATGGGAAGTAACACGTGAGGTGTAACTTGGCGATGTAATGTTGGTTTCTTGACGTGTTGAATAATAAATGTTTTAGGTGTAAGTTTTTTAATAATTCTAAATGGTCCTTCATAACGTATATCAAATTTATAACGGATGCATAGATGTATTGCACCAATTTATTTACATAGTTCATTGGTTAATATTGATGTAAAATGTGTTCCATTATCGGTCAGAATACATCGAGGTGTACCAAATTTTGAAATAATATCTTCTTAAAGAAATCTAACAGTTGTCTGAGCGGTATTATCACGTACAGCTTTTGTAGCAACAAATTTTGATAAGATATCTGTAAGGGATATAATATATTTATTACCGCGTTGAGATGTTGGAGTAATAGGTCCATGAAAATCCATGGATACTAATTGCCATACTCCATCAGGAGGATTAATTGGTTTTAATTTACTAGGAGTTTTTTTGCTGACGAGGATTAAATTGTGCACATGGAATACACGATTTAATATAATTATTAATATCTTTATACATTGGCAGCCAAAAATAACGTTGTTTAATTTTGTGTATCGTTTTATTTCTTCCAAAATGACCACCATTCACTAGAGTATCATGATATATTTGTAAAATTGTTCGTCAAAGATCACCTTGTGGTAGATAAGGAACTGGAGTGTTTGATAGACGCATTAAAAGATTATTTTTTATAATATAATTTTTGTAATTCTTGATGTTGTTAATAATATTTTCTGCATAATCATCATTTTGTTGAGCGTCTATTAATTGTTCGGTAGAAATTGGAATAATTCGATTCTCTGCGGTTGTAGTATTCAATGATTGACTAGCCGGCGGAGGCGTCAGAGAATCCGATGTTAATTGTGTTACATCAATTTCAGTAGTAGGAGTTCGATTTCGTAGTTTCTTAGCACGAGTTTGAACATCAGTAACTATAGGTAAATGCGAATTAATAAAGTCAGAATCAGTTTGTGTTGATTTTGAAGTGAAAAATGATATTTCATCAGGATCTTCTTCAGCGTCATCAACTGGAGATCGTGATAAATAATCAGGCATATAATTTGTTAATCCAGGAATATATTTCACCTTGTAATCATATTCTAAAATTTTTAATCTCCATTGTTCACATCGTTTATTAATTTTTGCCTTTTTATTTAATTGTGTTAATGCTTTGTGATCAGTTTCCCATGTAAATTTAGTTCCACTTAAATAATTATGCCATTTGTCTAATGCACAAATAAATGCATAACATTCTTGTTCCATAAGAGACCATTTGCGTTGTGCTTGAGAAAATTTCTTGGATAGATAAGCAATCGGCCTATCTCCTTCTGGATATGTTTGTAATAATACTGCGCCGATTCCTTCATCAGATGCATCGGCTTGTACTTTAAAAAGAAATCTGGTATTGGGGAATTCGTAATATTAAGTCGGTAGTAAGGAAATTTTTCAATTGGTCGAAGGCTTTAATTTCATCGTTGGTTAATGTAATTATTCTTTTTTATCCTTTCTTCTTTTGAGTTCTTGTAGTTGGCACAAATTTTCTTAATGGTTCGGCGATTTGAGAAAAATTTGGTATAAATTTTCTATAATACTCGGTTGCTTTAACAAATTTGTAGATGAAGATCTGCAGCTTGTGGTAATCTTGTATTTAATAAGTCATTAATGTTGTGAGGACTTGGACGAATTTCACCATTCTTAATATTATCTCCAAGATAATCTGTTTGAGTTTGAACGATTTCACATTTATCTGGATTAAGAGGAAATCGAGCATCTTTTAATATTGTACAAATTTCATTAAGATGTAATAAATGTTCTTCAAATGTTTTTGAATATATAATAATATCATCAATATAAGCTAATGGATATTTCCATCTTGCGGGTCCTAATATATGATTAATGACACGTTGAAAAGTTGCGGGCCCATTGGTTATTCCTTGTGGAAGAACAGTGAATTGATAATGATTGTCACGAGTTGAAGATGCAGCTTTTTTTGCGATCTTCTTTAGATAGAGGAATCTGGAAATAACCAGATTTGAAATCAAATTTAGTGTAATACATTGCATCGGATAATTGATCAAAAATTTCATCAATTCTTGGAAGTGGAAATGCATCTTTAATTGTGATAGCATTTAGACGTCGATAATCAATGCAAAATCGCATAGTTTTATCTTTCTTCTTAACAAAAACCATCGGTGATGACCACGGAGAAGTTGATTCTTCAATTTGACCACGTTCTAATAATTTTTGGGTTTCTTGAAATTCAATATCTTCATCTCTATATGAGGCGGGATATTATTTCGAATAGATGGGTGAATGATCGCCTGTTTTAATTGCCGATTGTGGTGGAATATTAATAATTGATGCTGTGGGATCACATAATATTTTATTTCGCCAGTATATCTTTGATTTGCTAATTTTTGTTTTGAATTTTCTATATGTTCAGTCGATTCGAGTATTTGTTTTCGAATCTCTTCCGAAAAACATTTTGCGCCTAACTGTTTCTGTAAATCATTACCAGCTAAAAAATATTCGTTGCAATGATCACAATAGTTATTCAATGGTTCAGGATCAGAGTTGTCTTCTTCATTTATAATGTTTCGAGATTTTAAATCTTGTGAATATTGAGATGATGATCCATGGGGGTGTGGGTGGGATTATATATGTCGCAGGATCACATCCACACCCATACCAACCCACACCCTCTTATTTAGTAAAAATCAACTATGTAGTTGTAAAGCTTTTTCCATTTACGAGCTTGAAACAGTTTCTTGCTATTCACAGAGACTCCTCACGAATTCTATCGTAATCGCAACCTTTGTGAAATCTGTTCATAATACTCTCTCCTTTTCTCTCTTAGCTTTTGTGAAACACGATCTGAAACGAGTGTTGAAGTGTTTAGGAGCAGACATTTGCACCCCTCCCCCACAGACCGTGACAGAGAAACTGTAGTTGTAAATCATCAGATTAACGGTTAGCTGCAAATGCATCGCAACGTAGTGGAAGAAAAGGATTTCATTTAATTAGTAATAATAGAACCATCGTGCTTCACATTTTTAATCCCGCAACGGATTGCGCTAACATTTTTTCCCTTTATTTTTAGCCATCCCGAATATTCCTGCGAATGCACAATGGGCACAAAATGGTGTTACTGTCGCTGGAGGTAACAAAAAAGGCAGCGCCGCCAATCAACTCCTGTGGCCTGGAGGTCTCTTCGTTGATGATGATCAAAGCATTCTCGTCGCTGACCACGGGAAGTACTGTATCTTCCAATGGAAGAAAGATGATACGAACGGACAAGTCGTTGCTGGTGGCAATGGCCTAGGACATCAATTGGACCAATTGAATCGTCCAGTTGGTGTCCTCGTCGACAAAGAGACTGATAGTCTGATTATCTGTGATAAGGGAAACTATCGAGTCGTTCGATGGTCTCGACGTAGTGGCACCACACAAGGAGAAATTCTCATCCAACACATCCATTGTGGCGGAATAGCCATGGATGATCAACGAAATCTCTACGTCTCTGACATTAACAACCATGAAGTCCGGCGATATCGAATTGGTGGCAAGACGGGAACTCTTGTTGCTGGTGGCAATGGCCAAGGTGCTGATCTCAATCAACTCGACAGACCGGGTCACATCTTTGTCGATCGACAACAGAATGTTTATGTTTCAGAGTACTGGAATCATCGTGTAATGAAATGGCAAAAAGGTGCAACAGAAGGGATTACCATCGCGGGTGGGCAAACCGAAGGGGATGCTCTTACGCAATTGAACCATCCTGGAGGACTGTTAGTGGATACCTCGGATACCCTCTATGTTGCAGACTCGCATAACCGACGTGTACTACGTTGGCCACAAGGTGCAAAACAAGGCACTGTGATTGTTGGTGGAAATGGTTGGGGAGAAGGAGCAAATCAATTCCATATGCCCACTGATGTGTCGTTCGATCAGCATGGCAATCTCTATGTCTTAGATTACGGAACAACACGAGTACAACGTTTTTCAATCCAATAGACTCAATTCCATCGTTTTCTTTTATTCTGCCGTTCTTGCCTATCGTAATAAATCACTTCGCGTCGCTTTCTAAATCAATTCACAAACAAATCAACCGATTCCGAGAGTGAGAGGGTGAGTGTGGGTGTGGGCGTGGGTGGGTTGGTTTAAGGGTAGAAATGATCAGGACACCCACACCCTCATTTATGAAGAAACATGCGAATAAAAAGGTGGTATCTATTATTGATGGAATTGATGAAAACAAGTATTTTTTGCTAGCAATCAAATAAACATAAATCAATTAAACATACTGTATAAATCTTCAGTTTTTCAAGAGATTCTTTCAATGATTATGTCTAATAATTTCGATTTAGCACTGTTTTATATCGACGTGGATGGAGTCCAGCTGTTTGAAGTAATTATTAGGAAAGATAACTTTCCAGTAAATCATGTCCACTGTAACACAATCATAATAAACTACGCTGGCTACATTCTTCAGCAACTGAAAGGGCTATCTGCTGATTATCGTCTTGAGGGTGTGTGGGTGTGGGTGGATGTGGGTATATGTGGGGTGGTTATGGACGTGGATATGACTCCGTGATGGATACAACCACAGCCACACCCGACTGGAGTTTTTGAATTATTTTAGCTAGCGTCGACGGCGGCTCGGTTGTATTTGCGATAATTCAGTGGCGGCTGAAAGAATTTCCAAAATTTTAGGATCTTGGTGGCAGCGGCTGTAATTTTTTAAGAAAAAACGACAGCGGTGGCGTCTCAGCCGCTCGGCTTACACCTCTATTTCCAACCACTATCGGTCAGACATTTATAATCTCGTATTGGCTATTCAATTTAGGAAGCGGTTCAGCAAGTACTGCTGATGCTATAATGAGTTATTAGAAACCTGTGACTAAATTCTTCTTTTCTCGCTGCACATAGCCTAGAATGAAAGGATCGCAAAGTTTTGTATTCATGAAATGGCATATATGCATGCTGGTGTGTTTTTAATACCCGACTCCTTAAATTTCCTGTTTTTCAAGCACTTCTCACTTCAACATATACGAAATATTGTGAAGTATCCATGGACCAATATGTTGAACTTCATTGACATTGTGCCGAGTAGCTCTGGTGAATATTACCTGTTCTATGTTTTTAATGGATTGGCTCAATCGGTTTAGATAAAGATTTCAGACCGGTCGACGTGAGTTTTGTTTTGTTTTACATTTTTATAAAACGATAATTGTTTGTTCTGTAAATGTTCGATGGGTTGGCGGGACATGAACAGTAATCATCTTTCTTTGTTTAATGGTGTCAAATTAAGCACAACTTTCGTGAAAAGCAGCTATATGTAAAAGATGATACTCTATTAGTACATACAAAACAAATTAAACCCATCCCAACTTACAGTTATAAGGTGTGCGACTATTTAGTCGCACACCTAATAAAAAAACAGCGAAAATAGTAACTTTTAAGATCTGATGAAATTATATCGCGATTAACACACTTTTTCTCATATGTACCAGCGTCATAAGCCCTTTAAGAGTTCATGATTATTGTAACGAGCGAAATCAGATTGAGAAACGACGTTTCTGGTGCTTATTACGTTTAAAACCTAAACACCTCCTATGTTATTGTAAGAAGGGGTGTAACACTTTCGAAACCTTCTTGCCCTCCTCAATTGAGATGCTCCTATGTTAAGAGCTTTACCAAAGCCTATGAAGTAATAGCAATGATTCATTATTCGCCACGATTCGATAGATCTTAGGAAGATTAAAAGTTTTGCTGTTTTTTTTTGTGCAGCACAAACTGCTACTCAAAAGTTGCTCAATTCAGTTCTCTTTATGTATGGTTTTTACTTCATTAACTATTGCACGCTTCCAGTGCAACAGAAAAGAAGAAAACAACAAAAACATTGAATACATACGACGGTACAATATCAGAACAGAGATAATTAAGATTATTTCTTTCTCGGTGATTGTGAGGTATCGTGAAAATCAAAAGTAGGTTGAAAAAATGAAATAAATGAATTATCGAGAAGGTAAAAATGATCTTACCTACACTAAATAGTAATCAACAGAAAAGACTAGAAATTTATTTGTTTAGAATATTATTGATCAATGAATGTATGAGAAAAAAAATTCATTTCAGTGATGTTGACTGAAGAAACCTGTCAGATAATATTTTACTTATTATTATTTTTTGTTTGTTAGGTTGTGATAGTTACTTGGCGAATAGATAGACAATCTTATTCAGCAACAATAAATATGAAGGAAACCCATCATAGGTAATAGTATAAAACATTCGGAATATTTGTAACAATACAACACAATCGATAATAAAGTTTGTGATAATATTGCATATTCACAAGATGACCCGTGTTACTCGAGTTACGAAAGTTCAAAGCTCACATTCGCGACGAAAGGTAGGTCGTTACATTTTATCAAGCATCATCTCATTCTTGTCCTAAGCACTTTTTGTGTGGCAAAGGACGGGGGCGCATCAGTAGTTAAATCGGCCCATTTTTGATTCATCATAGACAGTATCGAAAAACTACACAGAACGTCGCAGAAAAACGAGCTGATCATTTTGATACTAAATTCATATAGATTTAGTGAAACTGTATCTACCTTCTTCCTAGCACGATAAACACAAGCAATCGACCTACATATGTCAGAAGAGATCGATGATAATTATTGAAAAAAAACTTTTACTTAAACATCGCAAAATATCTCATTAGATAGAGCTTAAAAAATTCTACAAAACTGTAGTATTTTTTTTAGTGAAAAAAGAGATGACCGTTATGTGATGAAAGGGGCAATATTGCAGATATCGTATGAAAGCTACTAGTATTCAACCATTAGTTGTCCATAGGAAAACGAGCATACTTTCTTGCTTGAAGCTGAGCCATACATCACTAAATAGAGCTTAAAAAGTACTACAAAATCATACCATTTCTGAGTCAAAAAAGGATGACCACTATCTGACGATAAGGGTGATACTGTGGAAAGTCTATCAGCATTATCAGTACTTAACCTCGGATTCTCCATAAGAAAAAGAACATACTTTCTTGCTATAAATTGATTCATATCTCATTGAATACGGCTTGAAAAACACCAGAAAATACTGTTATTTCTGAGACGCACAGGCTGTCTAACTTTCACCGATAATCTCCCGTCTCACACGGTTAACAGCCGTAATCAAGCTGAAACCTTCATTAATTCAAGGTGTCATTACTGTAAGACCCACCATAAAAAAATCAATAAGAAAAATGTTTCGATATCATGATTTTTCTTAGACCACAAAATGCCACTTTTCGACGAAAAACAATCATTTTCTTCATTTTGTGGTACTATTGTTTTTCCTTTACTTAACCCTACGATTGGAAATTAATATACCGGTATATAGTACTAAGTTAGCAGTTTCAGCTCATCAATACATGAGCCGAGTCACATCTCTAGCGAACGAATTTTTTCTATGTGAGATTATGCAATAAGAGCGAAAATAGGTCATTTTGTGATGTCATTTTTGCAAGCGACAAAGAGCCTGGCCCCCATAGTTCCGTACTTCATTTAATGCCCTTTTTGCTCCCAGATGCATTGCTTCTACTAGCATCATACATCTTGGTCATCTCGTTAAGGTTGCTTGTATTCCATTTTACTTCTGTTGTACTTCAATTTTATTTTAATTATCGTTCAGTTGTACTTCAATGACCCATTCATGCACTCTCATCTGACTTCTATTTTTTTTCATTAAAAATTTTCCAATTCATCCGTAACAAATAATAAATAACTGTCAGTACATCGTAATTATGTTAATAAAAAATTTGAAAGTATGAATTCCATAATTAAAAATGAATTTTTCATAGGAAACCATGTGAAAGATTCATATTTTGCACTTTGCAAATGTTGATTAGTATACATCAAGAGCGTACTAGTGAAGAAACGAAATAATTAGTCGGATAATGTTTTTCCGTTAATATCACAGCTCATGCATTCATCTACTTTTGCACTTATCTTTTTTTGAGACAATAGCTTTAAATATGGTCCATGTCTACATTCTAAACTTGAATGCATAAGGTTGTAATTTATAGGCACGGCGGCAAGAATCAAAAGTCTTTCCTGTATCGCAAAATCAAAGGGATGCTTCAAAAGCTTTAAATGGAAATTCAATCGTTAGGACGTTTGACTCACAGTGTTCAATGCCTGACTTATCGGATAGCACGAAGCAGATATTTTCAGACCCGGCATCACCGACGCATATTAATCCATTCGAAACTAAATCGCATTCGACTAATGCAAGCGGTTCAGATTTTCAAAGCAATTCTCTTCAGCAGTTCAACAAGAAATCTGCTTTTGGTGATA